AATATCCGGACCTTACCCAGTACTGTGCCAACGAGCGGGGACGGGGTGAACTGCAAGATGGGTCCCTCCAGACGCTGACAACCAACAGCTCACTCATATACTCCAAGGATGGGTCCTGTGAGTTTGATTTCCTTTCAAGTTTTGTTTCTCACTCCACCTCACTGAGTAGCAAACCAATCTCGACCAACTGCGTCGCCAGGCACACAAAAGGTTCCTGTCCGCGCAAGAGATGGTCGCAACGCACATATTGCCGACTTGCTCCGAGCATGCCAGGAAATGTAAGGCTCCAATCGTGGAGCTTGAACATATGCCGGAAAGTCATGCTTGCCGAATGGCAGGCAACACAATGTCAGTTCCTTGTGTGGCGGCTCTTTTGTTGACCGCCATTATCAACTTAAAGTTGGTCTGAAGTGAAATTCAATAGATGAACCATGCACTCAAGAATGATTGTTTGTTTGGTAATTGGCCTTGAGGCTTGACGTGTAAATGAACGTGTGACATGCCAAAACATGAGACCGCCCTGCTTTATTGCCAGCTACTGGTAGACTAAGAGCTTGCTGAAACTGAAACTGCTCTAATTGCAAAGTATTGAATTGAACAATGAGAAGTGAACAATTACTTTTTGATGTCTTGTTCAAGGAGTTTGGATGAGAGGCCATCCCGGCCGCCAGTCCTGTAGCTCCACCGATGGGCAAAAGGCCCTGTGCTTCAGCCTCGGCTGACCAGAAATCCTCGAAAGAACTTAAAGCAAGTAGTCCATGGGCCGGGAAAATCTACAATGATGCGAAGAAACTAGGCTGAAGGTGGGGAGGATGAACCCTTGGTTACCAGTCATCTTCAAAGGGGTTTGGGTGAACAGGTTTCCGACATCCCGTTTCAAATGAACTTGATGCCTTCGCCTTCAGGAACACCGTTGTCGGGGAGGATCCACATCCAGTGGAATGGCTACTGGATGCTTGGAAACAGGACCTCCTGGAACCCATGCTGACGTGGCTTCAGGAACAAGACTCCAGCTTTCCAGATCCCAGACGTTTCAAATTTCCAGCTCTTTGGCAGTCGTAGAGTCTGAGTGGCCAACTTAAGTAAGCCTACGATGTACAGAAACTTAGTTGAACGACTTCTGTCTGAGGCTGCAAGCGATGAGCTCGTCAGCATTCCTTTGTTGGCGTTTCTCTACACGCGTCCCGTGGACGGCTTGCCTCTTCTTCACAGCTGGCTAGCTACAGGGAAAGACATTTGGTTTCGGGGGGTATGAATCGTGGAGAGAGATTGTCGAAGTACAACCAGCTGCTGAAAGCGACCCGGATACACCCTACAGTTTTGGTTCGGTGGGCCTTGTCAAAGGAATGGGCAGAATCTCTATGCTGCTATTTGGCCTCCTCTGGACCTACTTGAAACTCCGAGACAGCATGACTGAAGAGATGCAAATTGACTTCATAAGGCACTCCCCGGCACTCCCCCCTGATCAAAAGGGTCGCCCTGGGGAGTCTCAGATTTCACAACCTCTCAGGGTGATGGTTTCACTGAAACCGTCGTCCTGGAACAGGGTTCCCAAGTACAAAACTGTGTTCCCAAAGTATCAAACTTATTCCCCAAAGTATCAACAGTGCATCCCAAAGTATCAAACTTGAACCCCATAGTATCAAACGTGGACCCCATAGTATCACACCAGGCCCCAAAGCATCAGGTCCAGGGTGATGGTTTCACCGAAACCGTCGTCCTGGCAGGTCCTCAGTTTGCGACCCCCCTCAGGGTGACCCTTTTGATGTTTGGGATGCTCTGGGGTCCCTGGCACGCTCCTGGGCAGGTGGTTGGATTCCGTCAAGTTCATCAAGTCGAAGTTCATAGTTGCCTCACATAGCGACTGCTTGTGGAGGAGGCTGGCGGTGCATGAGCAGCAATCTGAGCGGGAGAAAAAGAATATCCTACAGAAGGTTCTCATATTCAAGTCAAGGGCGACAGAGATCATGGCGAAGGACTAGCTTCAAGGGATCTAGCTGGTTCACGAGTTTCAATAAGCTCACCGACATGTAAATCCCAGCAGGTTGCCATGTTTGATCATGCTTGAACCCCCCTGGTCAAGGAGCCTGCAGAATTTGGTGGCAAAGTGAAAGAAGCCTTCTTCAAAGCCATCAGTGAGTACAACTCTTACGAGATGATTGCACACTCAAAGCGTTTTCAAATCGATTCCAACGCGGCGTTCTACTTGTATGGCTTTTGCGAAGCTTGCCTAGTATTTACAGTAAAGTTCAATGTTTTCATTTGATCCCGTTCCCTTTACCCCTGGCCCTCCCTTTCTGTCTTAGGGCTCACCTTCTTCAAACCAATCCGTTGAACTCGAAGCCTGCTGAAGCAAGGCTGGCGTTGGCAATGACTCCTGGGAGCTGATCGAGCAGCACTTGCACATGTACAAATTTGAGCATTCAGGCTTGAGAGTGGAGGTAGTGGGTTCAGGCTTATGATATCTTATTTATATAATAAATAATAAGTTAAACGGCTGTACTACATGGAAACCAACCATACTTTGAACATCATCCTAGTCATGCGGCTAGAAAGGCATGTTTCTACATGATTGCTCCGGCCCTGCAGCCTTCACAAACCAGTTGCTCCTGGACATTCGCTGGTTGGTTGGTGGGATGAGCCGGGACCCAAATTCCAAGAAGAGTCACATCTGGACCGAGCTGCTCCGGGTCACCCCTGAAAAGCAATGTGTCTTTGTACAACGGGTCCTGTTTTTGCACGATCTTGCAAGCCGCCGCGGAGCGCGATCAGCATCATCGAGGTTGAACATACAAGAGTGGGGGATTGAATGTGAGCGGATGATTTTCCTCAGTTCCATGGTGCTGCACATGTCAGTAGTCACTGATGATCACGGGGGGCCGCATCTTTTCTGATGAAGTTGTGCGCTCCATTGTACTGCGCTGCGTTGAGGGGTGGCTCGGAACGTTTAACTTGTTTTTTCTTTGAAGTCATAATGTTTGATAACCAAAAAAAGCGCTACTTAGATGAGTTCTTAGGTGTCTTTTTGTACCTTCCACCGGGCGGGGTCACAATGTAAGGGACTACAACTCTGAAGCAGAGGACTACTTGACTTGCATGGACCCACACTTCAAGATAGAAGACACGAGCATGTGGAAAGAGCATGCACCAAAGCCCACAGAGACCGTGGCCACCAAAGTGGCGGCAGCGGATTCAGAGGTCGACAACCTCACAAAGGAGTCTCGCAAAGCTCAGTTTGATGCAGACTGCATTGCTTTAGCCAGGGATTGTGCACAAATTGGACAGCTTGTCAAGGAAGTGAACAAGTGCGATCAAACTGCTCGGACAGAGCGTGTCCTACACTTGCGGCACCAGAATACCATCGGAGCTGGGTTGGTTTCGGAATATATGGCCACCAACATGGCTCTTGGCAGCGGCAGCGTGAAGGACCAGCAATCCTTGATGGACAGGGCCCGGTGTTTGGGGAAAACTCGGTTATACAGTTTGTTTGCAATCAAATGTATACCTGACTTGGCATGTTTAAACCTTGTGCCCTGCAGTTCCTGTCAAGATTTCCGGACACACCCACCATCATCTATGCTGATCTGATGAAATGCGGAAGATGCAGCAATCAAGAGCTGAACGAATTTTCAGAATTGCTCAGCGCTGGTTTGGCCAAACGGCCCCATGCATCAGTGGCAATTGTGGTGGCTCCATGGCTATGCTCCGAGAAGGTGTGTAATGGCTACAGAGGAGAGTTGAGGCCAGGTTTGCAAAAAAATGGTTGCTTTCAACGAAACATTTAAGCTCGATAAGTTACTTTCAACATTTAACTTTTAAGTTCCCTAGAAGTTACTTTTAAGTTCAACATTTTACTTTTAAGTTACTTTCAACATTTTTCTCCAACGTCGGTCCAACGCTACACATGCCTGCTCAGACGCTGGGAAGACAAATTTGATGCCCGTGGCCTCTACTCGGAGTCAATGGCGGTGAGGTGCCAGCAGCCACCCCGCGCACGGAAAGTTCCACTATACTTTAATGGCTGGTTGCTGTTCGATGATTCCTGTGTCAAAAGTGAGGATGGCAACTGGTTCTTGGCTTGCCAACTTTTGCAAGACAGGACTGGTGCAATCTTGAACAGTTTTGTGACAGGTTTCTCTGTCAAGAAAAAAACACCCACTGTATGGTAGACTGACACTCATTCATTAATTAATTAATTCAGTCATTCATTCATTCATTCTTTCATTCATCATTAACGTTCATGACAGAGTTTATCCCGTCTCCCACATGCAGCCCACAGTCCTTGGTCAGGGCGACAAGAGCGGAGTGTCCCTGGCAAGCGGAAGCATCGTACATTGTCCCAGTGGCAAGCAAGGATGCCATTCCGCATGCGTCAGAGGGACATAGGCAAGGGTGACTCTCAAAATCATGTGATATCCTGTGACTGTTTTGAACAAGATTCAATACCGCAAGTCATGAGTCAACTTAGGAGTAGAATTACAGCTTATTCCAAAAGAACGTTCTTCGCCTGATGGTCCAGGAGTCTATCAGATGTCCAAGAAAGTGCTCAGTTTTTGGTGCAAGATGTGATGGTGCGAAGCTTGCTAGAGTCTGTTTTGGCACGAGCTCAGATCCCTGAGAACACCAATACGATTGCGTTGGTGAATCTGACACCGTACGATGGGATGGTGGAACGTGCAACCAGGAAGTGGAAGGAGATTTCAGTTGATTCACCTTTCCATTTCAAGACCCTGAGCCTCACCAAAAAACTTGGGCATCTGCGAGTTTGTCGAGAAGGCACTAGCTCTTGAGCTGATGGAGGACAGGGGGTCTATACCACAACGTGCTAAACTTGATTGAAATTTCTTTGAAGGGTTCATCTGACTGTTTGAAGGGTTCATCTGTGGATCACAAACCTTGCAACTGCTACTGTCCTAGGAGTGGAAGAGCGGATCGCCTACCTTTGGGAAGTGCAGACCCTATGAGCCTAGGCCACCACCAACTCCTGCAAATCAGAAGATCGATCTGGCCAATTTCCCGGTCCGCCTTGTGAAGATTGAGTATGACTTGGCACCTGGGAAGAAGGGGTGGCAGCAGTACAAGGTATCAATCCCCCCCAGCCGTCAGGGGTAGATATGTGGACGACATCGTGTACCGCAATGAATGGGCAGAACTCCTCAAAGACTTTGACAAGCAGTTCTTTGGTCTGTAAGAGCCTTTCAATGCCTTTCACCTTCAACTTTTTTACTCGATGCGTCGTTCCATGGTCAAACTGTTAAACAGTTTTCAAAAGCACTTCAACTCACCGCCCCAAGCCCAATCATGCCCATTCATGCCCCATGCCTCTCCATCAGGTTTGGAGTGGCTGCAGGTCCCGAAGAGGCCTTGGTTCCAGCACCATCGGAACCGGAGAGTGAACCGCTTCCCCCATGGACCGAGCCGGAATCATTGGACCAGCTCTTGGACGCATACATCGTGGAAACAAAGATGGCTGGACGGATTGGAGGGACATCACTGTATTTGATGCCAGTGAAACGGAGAGACGGAAGCGTCACGGAAATCATCGATGGGCAAAAATGGAAGCTCTTCCTAGCTCCTAGACTCATTTGTTGAACTCATTTGCACAAACACATCTACGACATACGAGCCTATCACCTCCATGTGTTTTGAACTTGTCACTCCCCGCCAATTTATGAGGTTGCCCATGGAGAGGTGGAGCTGGGAACGCTGGACTACCAAATCGCCCATGGACCTAGCAAGTTCCTGAATCCAGACAAGTATCAGAAGATGAAACTACAAGAAAAACATAGTACACCTGACATGTTTGTTCAATCTGTCTTCCATCAGCATTTCGAACTGTTTATCGATCATGTCGCTCTGCTTTAGATCAGACTTGGATCTGCCAATCAGCAGCTGGCCCAAACCTGAAGAGACTGTGGGATATAGATAGCTAACTTAAGTTGTTGCAATCATCCTCATGACGAGCAAGTTGGAATCCCTACTTGCCTCACATGGCTTTTCAGAGGCAGGAGAATGTGAACAAGTTATGATGCCTAAGGGGATTTCCAGTCTCTAGTCTCACTTCTTTTGCAGGACTTCCAGAAGATGGCTGATGAGAGTCCATCCACGCTCCTGACCCCCCTCATCCAGACCAGCCGAAGTCTCAAACCATATTTGTTTTAAAGTCTCTTATATTGTAAACCCCTGCCACTGCTGAGGTCTTGTTCACGCCTCCAAACGTGTCTACTGAGAAAGCCTTGAAGGCAAGAAGCATAATTATTTGTTGAACAAAAAATATGATCGTCTTCTTTGAACTTTTGGCCAAAGCACCAGTGACCCTACCCATCATCCACATATCAATCGCCTGGAAAGGAAGAAGTGAAGGGCAGTGGAACAGAACCAAGGGAAGGCTTGAAGAAAGACCATGAGAAGAAAGACCATGAGGAGGAATACCGTGCGGCGAAAAAACAAGTTGAGCGACCAGAAGAAGCAAGACCAGGACGAACAATACCAAGAGGAGAAAAAGCAGGAGAAGAAAGACCTGGAGAAGAAAGTGGAGAATGTTAGCACTCAGGAACCTGAAACTCAGGAAGAAGATACTCAGGAAG